TCTCAACTGCGCGGCTGCCTCCGTTATGATGGACGCCTGTGTATGACGGTGGTGTTGTGACGGTGGGGTAAGAGGTGATACCAGTCTGTGGCGGGGGGTGTGAGGGGGTGGGGGATTCGGTTGCTGCGTCGCAAGGCAGTGCTGTGTCAATGTGTGCTTGTGCATGCGCAATTGCAGAACCTTGGAAGCCACGCGGGTTTCAGTTCGCTTCAAGTCTCTCTGAAAAGAAAAGACGGGGGTGGATATTATGCACGAGAACATGAGGTGGGTGCGGGTATGAGCAACATCCTAGAACATCGTGGCGGAAGCCGAAATCACAGCACGTGTTGTGGTGATTGCACCGTGGTGGTGGTAGTGGTGGTGGTGGCGACGATGGTGATGGTTGGTGGCTGCGATGGTTGTTGCTGTCTGTGGTGACTGTGGTCGGTGGTTGACGTACCACGCTGTTGCGTGAAGCCTGCTGGTGTCGACAGAACGGCGTTGCGGTGGTTGAAAGGGGTTAGGCAGAGAGTGTGGGTGAGCACAGAGGGTGAATGCAAACACTACACACACACGCACGCACGCACACACACACACACACACACACACACACACACACAAGCAACTGTGTAGCAGCGGAGAAATGATAACGGCACTGTGATGGTGGTTGGTTGCTGCGGTGGTTGTTGCTGTCTGTGGTGACTGTGGTCGGTGGTTGACGCACCTGGCTGTTGCGTGAAGCCTGCTGGTGTCGACAGAACGGCGTTGTGGTGGTTGAAAGAGGTTGGGCAGAGAGTGTGGGTGAGCACAGAGGGTGAATGCAAACACTACACACACACGCACGCACACACAAGCAACTGTGTAGCAGCGGAGAAATGATAACGGCACTGTGATGGTGGTTGGTGGCTGCGGTGGTTGTTGCTGTCTGTGGTGACTGTGGTCGGTGGTTGACGTACCACGCTGTGGCGTGAAGCCTGCTGGTGTCGACAGAACGGCGTTGTGGTGGTTGAAAGGGGTTAGGCAGAGAGTGTGGGTGAGCACAGAGGGTTAATGCAAACATCACAAACACACGCACGCACGCACACACACACACACACACACACACACACACACACACACACACACACACACACACACACACACACACACACACACACACACGCACGCACACACAAGCAACTGTGTAGCAGCGGAGAAATGATAACGGCACTGTGATGGTGGTTGGTTGCTGCGATGGTTGTTGCTGTCTGTGGTGACTGTGGTCGGTGGCTGACGTACCACGCTGTTGCGTGAAGCCTGCTGGTGTCGACAGAACGGCGTTGTGGTTGAAAGGGGTTGGGCAGATGGTGTAGGTGAGCACAGAGGGTGAATGCAAACATCACACACACACACACAAGCAGCTGTGTTGCAGAGGAGAAATGATAACGGCGCTGTGATGGTGGTTGCACTGTGGTGGCGACGATAGTGATGCCGGTCTGCTTCTGCTGGCAGGACGAACACGTGTATCATGCAATCCAGCTTGTACTCGACAGACCATGAACACCTGCTGTTTCCGCTTACCCTTGAGGCCTGCTTATGTGCAACAGCACACTATTCAAGGAACGACAGGCACAGAGCAAACAGAAAGCAAGGAACATGTTGTGTTGTGTTTGAATGAGATCTTGAGATGCACTGGGCAGGGGAGGGAGTGCGTGTGTGTGTGTGTGTGTGTGTGCTGTGGCCAAGTGAACACGCAACACAGCAGCATGGTCGCATTCCTTTGTACGTACTGCGTTGAATGTCGCAGAGCTCATGCTGCCGGACATGGTGTCAGAACAGGACTGGGCCAAGACAAAGGCGGGCACAAAGGCACAGGTAAACAGGAACGTGAGCCACACTGAGGTTGTGTGTGAAGTGAAGATGCACCACACAGAGATATGCACATACACATACACGCATCAACACACACACACACTCTCTCTCTGTTCTTCCGCACAGGATGCAAAGAGTGGGAAACACAGTAACACAGACGGTGTGGAAAGAAAACGAGGAAGGCGGGAATCGACAAGGGCAAGCACGCCAGTGTCGACACACGGGCACAGACGACACAAGACACAAGTGTGTGCTCAATCACTTCCAAGGGATGATTCGCATAATCTAGAAGAAGAGATAGAGCGCGTGCGAGGGAGATAGAGCGCGCGCGATAAGAGAGAGCGCGCGAAACAGATAGAGAACATAACCGAGAGCAGAGAGAGACTCCACATGAGACTGGGGGGGAGAGAGTGTGTGTGTGTGAACAGCAGCGCGAGACAAGGATGTGGACAAAGTAGAAAGAAAGTGAGAAAGGCGGGAATCGACACACAACAAACGTCAGGGTCGACACACGGGCACAGACGACACAAGACACAAGTGTGTGCTCAATCACTCCAAGGGATGATCGCATAAGCAAGAGAACGAGATAGAGCGCGCGAGAGAAAGCGCGCGAAACAGAAAGAGCAAGACAGAGACAGAGAAACAGAAAGCGAAGAGAGACAGAGACTGAGAGACGGAAGGGGAAGACCGGGGATAGACAATGAAAGAGACAGAGACTGAGAGACACACGACAGCTCTGCACACACACACGCACACACACACACACACACACAGAGCACAGAGCACATACAACAACCTCTTCGTCGATGCGCCACAGCCCGCCTGAAACCGATCGTGCTTGCCACCCTTCGTGGTCTTCGTGTGGTTGGTTGGTTGGCTCGTGTTGGTTGTACTGGCTGGTCGAGGGTGGAATTGAACTTCGCAACAGGATTAGACAATGACGTCATCCTCGAATCTTTGCCAACACGTGAATTGCTGAAAATTTGCTGAAATCTTACACCATTCCCAGTGCTCAGAGATGAGGGAAGCAATCAAAACCGAAAGTGTGCTCATTTCAGACAGGCGCTTGTATGAGTGGGTGACTGGGTGATGTGAGGGAGTGAATGTCTGCTACTGAATGCTTGAATGCTATGTGAGCGGCCCAAGGGCCTCAAGCGTTGACAGACAGAAACCAACAAGATCAATAGAAACCAAGTGTCTCTGTGTGTGTGTGCGTGTGTATGTGTGCGTGTGTGTATATCTCCTTCGTGTGTGTGTGTGTGTGTGTGTGTGTGTGTATGTGTATCCCCCCCTTCCCCCCACTCGGCGCTGTTGCTGCTGTCATCCGCAACTAACCCATGGCCACTTTTACTCCCATCATGCTGTCAGATGCACAAAGTAATGTTATCATGTGACATCAAACAGAGCAAACGGGCATATGGCAGAGAGTAACGATCCCCTGAGAGAGCAGCGTCTCAACAGGAAGGAAGGCAAGGCCACGTCACGTGCGCACGACGCAGCACAACAGTGGACCACAGCCCAGCGCAACAGCAACTCCTCTTCATTGCACACACACACACATGCACAAACACATATGCACACACACACACACACATCACCACGCCAATCAACCACGCCCCCCCCCTTGCCTCCATCAGACGGGCTTGTCATCACCATGCGTGAGGTAGTAGTGCAATCGCCGCAACTGCTCCAGAAACACAAACGTGAGGATCGTTTGTGGGCCCAGACGCGTAAACGCAGGCACCATCCCCCTGAAGAAGGCGAGCGGTCCTTCCTGCTTGAGCGTCATGCCCGCACACTGCAGCGCGCTGCTGTATGTGCCCGGGGTCGCTGCCATCACGCGCGTCTTCACCACGTCGACCGGCTGTGTCAGCAGCGTGGCAACGCCACCGGCAAGCGTCGACGCCGTGAAGTGGGTGACGAGGTTGTCCTTGAACAGGCCGCCAGTTGTTGTCAGCAGCAGCTGCTTGAACGTGTCATATGAGGCGAGCTGCCCCGCCGTCATGAGCATGGCGCGAATCACGTTGGGCCCGAGCCCAGAGTACAACTTGCCAATGCCTTCCTCCCTGATGATGCGAACAAGGGCGTTGCCGACGTGTTTGTAGTTGCGGCGCTCGGCAGCCGGCAGCCGGCCATCATTCTGCATGCGCACGTTGCACACGTCCATGGGTGTGCCCACAATGCCACCGCACCCGCCCGCGGTCATGGCTGTTGCAAAGCGCTCGGCAGTCGTCAGCTGCCCGTCAGCCTTGCGGGCACTGAATTCAGCCTTGAGAAAGTCGTACACTGTGTGTGTGTGTGTGTGTGTGTGTGTGTGTGTGTGTGTGTGTGTGTGTGTGTGTGTGTGTGCGTGTGTGTGTGTGCGCGTATGTGTGTGTGCGTGTGTGTGTGTGTGTGTGTGTGTGTGTGTGTGTGTGCGTGTGTAGAGTTGGGGAAGAGCGCGGAGAGAGGGTACAGGAATGGCGGTCGGTGAGCCACGAGTATGGACGCAGACAGGCACCACAGAGACAGAGCAGCAGGCAATCAGGGGAAAGGGGGTGTTGAATGGTTGGTGTCCTGCTGTGAAGGACAGTTGATAGAACAGGTGCGCAAGTCACGCTGCAACACACGCAAACACACGCTCTTGTCGAGAAAAACACACACACGCGCACACACGCACACATGCACACAGAAATACGCACACACACACGCACACACGCACACGGATGCACACAGGAACACACAGAAACACATGCAAGCGCACACACATGCACACATGTGTACACGCAAAGATGGGCGCATTTGGATGCCACACCTGCAAAGCGGGTGGTGGAGTATGTGCCCTGCCTGCCCAGGGAGGCGGTGAGGCCACGGTAGAGTGCGCGGAACCCTTCATTGCGAACAAGAGCCACTGCCGTCTGCACGAGTCCGCGCGGCGCCGTCCCAGGCGCTGCTCAGGCCGGCACAAACACACAACCGTTGATGAGATACGGACAAGAGGCGGCGAGAGAGAGTGAGGGTGTGAGAGAGAGTGGTGTGTGAGTGTGTGTGTTGTTGGTCTTAAGTGTGTGTGTGTGAGATTGTGTTGGGATTGAAGAACAAAAACAACAGAGACCTGTGAGCTGCTAGTGTGATGTGAGGACTGGGCAGGCAACCAAGGTAGCATAAGGAAGGATAGGAATTGATGGTAGGGGTAATAGAAGGGAAGTCTGAGGTAGATCGCAATAGGCATTGGACTTGACGAAATTGGTAGGAGTGGAATCGGACTGTAATGTTAAATAATGTGATGCCAGGGATTCGATTTGCAATCAGGTAAGAACTGGAGAGGCAAGGGAGAAGCCGAGCTGGGTAACATAAGCGTTTGATCAGGATTTGGTGTGCTG